CTCTCAGATTGAAACTATGCCAAAATTGAGCTGAAGAATGTGCACTGAACTTCAGAAAAATCCTTAAAATGGTTCTCAGGGTTTTGGGGCCATGTTGTACAAATACTAGTTGATGATTTTCTAGAGAAAAATATTATTCTGATTTAGACTGTTGAGAAGAAAGTCCTGTAGGCCTGATAAACCTGAAACCTAAACAATGACGTGAATAAAACTATTCCTGAGTAATGATTGCTGGAGTCATATAAACTACAAGCGGAGAAAAGAATTCCAGCCTATGTTATCTCTTATACAAATAACATTTATAGCTCTATTTAACAGTTCACTTGGCGAATTGCAGCACTCAGTTCCTACGCCCCAAATCTAGAAGAACTCTTTGTTTTAAGAAATGTGAACTACATTTCCCTTTTTAGAAAAAAAAATCAGTCAGAACATGTTCATACAAATATCAATATAAGCATATATGTCTATATTTGTGTGTATGGAAAATAAGTGCATGCAAAATATTAATTCATTAAAAGTTTATCTCTCATAAAACCTTTATTAGCCCTTGAAATCTTCGCCACTTCATATAAAATGATTTATCTTTTGAATAACAAGGTTCCATTAATCTGTTTGACAAAGAAATTTTTAAATCATTTAAATAATTCATTTGGATGAATTATTTAAATTCTGTAAAATATATATGTGAACATGTGTATGTGTATATCCATATCGAAAGATTTGTGTTCTAGCATAATATCACTAAGAAATTACAGGGCAGAATTCAGATGCCCTGTCCTTGACATCACCAGGGTGACTTGGTGTAGCTGCCACCTAGGAGGTCTTTGATGGCCACTGCTGGCACTGGGTCCCTGTTAGAGGGCCATTTCTGCTCCATTTGTCAAATACCCGTGATTTCATGTCAGAGAAACTTACACATTGATTTCTATATTCATTTTCAATTTTGTATTTTCACTGAAATTGTAATCTGACATAAATTTCAACACATAAGGATAATAAAGGCAATTATCAAGCCGTCATAGAAAACTGTTTTCCTCAATGTGCTGCTGTAGGCGCTACTGAGAGTGGCAAACATCACCCCTCCCCAGAGAAAAAAAGTTGTCAGAACAAACAGCTATGCCCAGAGGAGAGGTAGGAAGAGACACCAGTCCACCCTGTGACCAGTCCACAAAGCCAAGGGACATGAGGATTCCCGGAATATGCTCAACAGGCAAGGCATGCCATTCAGAAATTTTCACTGTTCACTATTCCTTCACAGCTCCTTAAACATTTTTTCTCAACTAAATCTTGTTCTTTTTCCTCTGAAGATGTGTGTGTTTTAACTTTCACAAATAAAGCAAACAGTTAATAATCCCATGATAATTTGGCAAGGTTACAAAATTTATGACAGATTCTTATCACTTTTAACTTTAAACATTCAAGAAAGTTAGCTTTTATTTAAGTCTCTCCATTGCCAAGCTCATTTTTTTTCCTTTGCCTGCTAGGTCCTTGCTTTGGGAAACTCCATCTGCTGGTTTGTGTTTATTATTTTTTTGTAGGGCACTCCTCTCCCTGTTGCCCTGGTTTAGGGTGAATTCATTTAGTTTTCATTTCCGTTTTGTAGCACACGCCTCTCAACACATTCTATGGAGTTTCACTTGCAGAGAGGTCTTAATTTTACACGTAGAATTGCATTGTGTTTTTGTGGCACTTGGTAAACCTTTCAAGTGCCTGTCTCTCACTTACGTAAAGCCCACCTGCGACACTTGCCATTTCACAGCAAGAAGACAGCAAATTGATACAATTGTAAAAGAGCCTTGACCTAACAAAGTAGGGCTGTGACACCTTGGGGGACAATAGTCTAAAGAAGTCTTACGTTTTAACTCCTAAATTTTTAGATTAAGAAGAAGGAAAGAGAAAGTAGTAAAGAAACCCCTTCTTGGAATTCATTGGCCAGCACCACCTTCTGGCCGGCATCCCGAGATGGTCCCCAGGAGCCCCTCCGTGTCCTGGACCAGCACTCTTTCCTTAGCTCCATCCTCAGCCAGCCCACAAGTATTGCCTCTAAACTTTACGTGACATAGGAAGTAGCAGGATTACGGTAACTCAGAATAGCATGATGTGTACCAACCACTGAGGTAATTTGGAAACACGTCACCTGTTCTCAGAAGCCTTCTGAAGAACAGAGGCTTCCGCAGTCCTCGGCAGCTGCAGTTGCTCATGGGATAAATGGGAGTCAAGATGCTGTCTTTGTGGATTTACCTCTGTACACTTTAGGTCAGCTTCAAGGTTACTTGGTCCAGATTTAAAACATTAGAAGTAAAATCCCCTAGAAATCTTGCAAGAATATATTTATCACCATGCCTGGTAACTATACATACCATGGTTACTTATTAGCAAGTGGAAGAAAATATTTAAATAGATTGTTTTAGTTAGTTCACTGAAATATTTTTGTGAGCTATTTGTAAATTTTCACATATTAGTGATTGCAATCAAAATCTGAGTAATTTCCAAAACTTAACTTACTAAAAATGTTGTACTTAAATGTGTACGTTCTCTTTAGTAGAGAGTATCACAACCAATTTGTTGAAGGGGTTTTCTAGTTTCTAGAACTTATTTTTTATATGCACACGTGTGTGTGTGTATCTGTGTGTCTCTGTGTGTGTTGAGAACATGGGAAGTCACAGAACTAAGAGAGTATTTACTGGCATTTGTAACCCTGCGTTCAGCAAAGTTGAAATAGGGGTGGCCGTGCTACTTGGCATAGATCAGTTATTCTCCCTTGTACCCTTCCTGTCCCAGTCACTGTTGTGACACAGGAGAACCTCAGATACTGGGTTCAATGCAATTTTTTGTTTCTAACCCCAACACCCAAGTTTTCTTTTAAGACAAAACATCCTTGACAAATTGCGCACTCTGCTAAAGAGGATGGTACTTTCATCGGAACTCATTATGACTCACAAGGTTGTCAAAGCCCAAACCTTACTTCCATGAACCAGAAATGCATTTTTAACCATTTTTTTTGTCCTGCCAAACCAACTGGAATTTTATTAATGTTTTCTGTTTGTTTGGCAAAGAAATGTGCAAGCATGGATTTATAGCACTTTCCACAAACCCTGTTGCCTCCTCCGGTTAGCAAAGCATCTCCTGCCATGACTCATCCAGTTTCTGCTATTGCTTCATGTTCTCTCATGATGGCATTAAAGAAAAAAGAAGTGCATCTTGACCCATGTGTCTATTCTGTGGGAAGTCGAAGTCAGAACAACAGGGCTATATGGGAGCTTGGAAGGAGATAAGGTGTTTGCCGTGCAAGCCTGAGAACCTGAGTTGATCTCACAGACCGCGTGTAAAAGCTGGCATGACAGTATGTATTTATAGTCCCGGTGCCAGAGAGGTAGAGACGGAAGCATCCCTATAAAACCTTTAGCAAGGCCAGCCAGTTTAGCCAAATTGGCAAGCTCCACATTCATGGAGGCACTGTCTTCAACTATAGGGTGCAGAACAAATCGAGAACACTGACATTGATCTTTGGCCTCTATTCACAAGTACATGCACACACACACAAACAAGTATACATCTATTTAAGTACACACAAGCAGACATATACACATGCATGAAAGTATATTTGTACACATATAAACACACAAGAACTTGACTTGCTCCTCACATTCTTTTTATCCTTTTCCTTTTTTCCTCCAGGGACCTTTGAGCACCTTAGCTTTAAGCTTCACTGGACATTAATATTCTATAGTCTAAACAAACACGTGAATTTCATGTTACTGCATAAGAAATGTACTGAACAGCAGTAAATGTGCTCAGAGGGTTCATGTGACATCCACATATCTGTCACTCTCAGTCCATACTATGAAACTTTCGGCTTACCAACTAGCTGAAGTTCACAGTATCTGGCTCTCTGCTCTCCTGGCTGGCCGCTACCCCCACCCCCAACCCTTTAAATGTCTTCTCTTAAGCTTTGTTTCCTTTCTTGGACTCCGTTCGGTTTCCCTCTGTATTTATGAGAAGTAAATACTATTTTTCATTATTTTTGCTTCATGTCATACCACATAATTATGCTCCACCAAAGGAGGACACATGAAAGAAATTAGACACTTCCAACCACCAACAAACAGAAGCAAACAACCTTCGAAGAATTATTACAAGCTGCAGTGTTTGGTAGCCATAGCTCAACAAATGAGTAAGACTCATGGCAGAGACAGCTAAACACAGCATGTTTTAAGGCAAACAAGCTAAGCTTGAACTTAAAACCACAAGTAATTGATAGCACCACACATGCTTTTCAAAGGAGGGTGTTTGCTTAGGATCCAGACAATCTACAAAACCCGAATGAATGAAGAGTTGTTTTTCAACATCCCAGTTCAGAGTGTTTCCTGTCTGACGCTACTCTTGATTTTAGTTTATAGTGTCTATTTCCTCATACAGATTTCTGGTATGACTACAAATTAACACAACTTCTCATGGAATGTTACTGAACCAGGTATAAATCGGGAAACATGATCGTCATGAATTATTGCAAAAATTAAAAACATCTATATGGAATATGCTCATCTTTATGAAATATGCACTCATTTTCTAAAAAGTATCTGTAAGTTACACTGTCTTATATACATGTGTACCTGTTTATATATACTTATATATATGCATATATATAAATATATATATACACACACATATAATTTAGTGATCCTAAAGATTAAGCCAAAAATCTCACATATAATAAGTGAACTCTTCCCCACTGAGCCAAATCACAATGCTGGCCCACAAAATACCTCATAACACTTCAAAATAGTGGGTAATATGTAATTTCTAAAAATGTGTATTTTGTAGTCCTGTTGGAAGACTGTTCTCTTAAACAGTTTTACCAACTTTCAATTATCTGGCATTTTCTTTCATTTTGTTTCGGAGTGCATGAACACCTGCCAACTGTTTTGTTAAAGAATTACCCGGTAGCTTTACTGTTACAACTTTATTAGGACAATTATCCTGTTCATGTTTGGGTAGATGCCATTAAGCGGAAATCACTATCGATATCTTCCTGTTTGGAAACTGATACTGGTATCTATGGCTATGTTGGCCAAGTTTCAAGTGAACGGACCACGATTGATGGCTCATATCTGAACCCCAGGGGTCAGAAAGCTTAGGCAGGAAGATAAAGGAGTGTTCAAGGTCGTCCTGGCCTACACAGTTAGTTCAAGAGAGAGATTGAGGAATCTGGACGTGGGAGATGGCTTAATGTAGAAAAACTCTTACTGAGCCACTGTATTCTGAATTCATATTCTTCAAACCATTATACAACAAGGTACAGAAGAGCCCGTCAATAATTCTTGAACTTCAGCAGAGACATGGGAATTGGAAACAAGAAACTAGAAGGCCAGCCTAGTCTACAGAGAAAAGAAACTGGAGGGCTAGCGTGTCCTCCAGAGTGCTGAGAAACAGGAGACAAGGATCAAATAAAGAGGATGGTGAGAACCAACACCCAGTTATTCTCAGCTAGCCACTCGTGTGCATGCGTGTGTGCGTGAGCAAGTGTGCATGCGTGTCTCCCTGCCTGCCTGTCTTTCTGTCTCTCACTTTCTTGCACAGAGCAACACACAGGCTTTATTTTTTTAACTCATTAAGACCCTGCCTGAAAAGAAATATTTATTTCTTGTCATCAGACAAAGCTCTGATAAATGACACTAATAAGATGAAACTTTCATTAATTACAGTGTTTGTTTTCTAAATTTTTCAAACATATACCTATTAATCCAACAAACTAAAATATAAAAGATGAAAGTCAGTTCTTAAAGTTGAATGAGTGATTTCATCAGTTGCTTAGTCTATGGTCTATGTTCATGTAGAAAAAAAGGAAAAACCCATTTTCCATTGTTTATAGTCCTCAACAGAATAAAATACTTCTCTTGATTCTTAATTAAAAAAATAAAAACTGATGAGCTTACACCTAGCTGAATCCTTTTTATTCATTTCTTATTTGAATGCTACAGTTCAGTTTATTCAGGATTTGGTAAATAACATTTGAAATCACTTTGTTTTGCAGAAGTTTTAGAAACATGACCACTGAGTTGTTTGGTTCATCCTTTCAAAGAAACCACAGATGCTGTTTTTCATAATAAAAATGAACTGGACTATTAATCAGTTTTGCGCATTGATCTTGAGAAGGAGCTATTTAAAAAAATATCTGAAAATAGTCTCGTAATATAAAGTGCAGGTTCAGTTACATTTGCTTAATGTTAATTTTAGTCTTTGTTTGTTCCTGTGTTTGCTGAAGATCATCTTACTATCTCGACCAAGCTACCCTGGAACTTGCTCCAACTCTGGAGTGCTGGGATTAAAGGTATCTACTCTCGTTCTGTCATGCCCAGCTCTAAGATATATTCATTCTCTCGCCCCCATTTCTCTCTCTTTCTCTCCCCCCCCCATGTGACCCCAAGAGCCTTGTGCACGCTGTGTGTTCTAACCACCCAACTGATAAAATCCTTATGAGGAAGAAGGATCATAGTCTCTGAGCAGTCCTGGTGGAGGATAACGAACAGCCCCCTTGGAATGCTGCAGGTTTCTTCCATCAGCTCCAGCGGCACATTTATTATTGGATAGCTGACAGAGTTGCATCATTCATGGATAACCTTCCCTTCCAGACAAAGCCATCAACTCAGGAGACAAAGATCTCAGGCCAGCTGGGTATGACTAAAATACATCATTCGTCAACAGCTGGGTTCCAAATGCAGAAACTCGATTTCAGTTAATTTTTGAAAGTTCTGGCACTATAAAATAAACAGTGCCTTCTACCTTGAATCCTAGCACTCAGGAGGCTGAGGCAGGCAGAGCTGCAAGTTCTATGGTCAGCCTGGTTTACAGAACTAGTTCTAGGACAACTAGAAAAAGAAAGACAAAAAAAAAAAAAAAAAAAAAAAA